ATATAATATGAAAACGCCATTAATATACCTATTTCTACGATAAATATCAGAATACCCACCAAAATAGATAAAGTATATTGTAAAGGAGTTGCTTTTTTACAAGTTAAAAAATTTTAATTTCACTCTTAATTAATGTTTATTAATGAGTTTATTAATAATAATTAACTAAAAAGATTGTTTCAACTCTGGGGTTTTTGTTTTCCTTCCTTCCAAGAAACAATTATCACAACTAACTACATTTGCGAAAATTAATAGAAGGTTAATATTAAATTGATTACTTATTTACTAAGGTGTTTTTTGACCATATTAGTTTCGATGGCGGTGATCAAGGATTATTAAATATGTTTTTCAATGACTGGGCTACTGCAAATATTAAAAAACATCTGGTATTAAAATTTGTTACAGATATATAATTCAGGAAGCCAGCTCCAACCAACTAAAATCTTTCAAAAACTATTAGTCCTTTACCTACAACTTCAACATAAGCACGGGTAATCTTATCTTCCTGCCTATAAATATTATGGTCATCAAATAAAAGTTATCCATTTCATTGATAAATTTTATTATTATAGAACCCTTTGTTTCCTTTTAGTTAAATTACTAATTACATTTAACCAACAAATATTAAATACTAAAGCTATATAAATTAAAGAAAACAATTTTACAATAAAAAAAAAGATTTCAAAATTAAACGGTTGAAAATATACATAACAGGAGGTGTTATAAATTGAAATAATTAATAAACCTCTAACAACTGTATTTTTTTTAATAAATACTTGCTATTAGTCAGTAATAAGCAAGTAATAATTTTAACACATATATCATTTACTTATAAGATAGTTTTACATTAGCCTTATGTACTACATAAAAATTTTATAATTATTAGGCCCTTCGAAACCCTGGCTTTGGGCTCGAGATGAAACAGGTCGGATAGTTTTACCGAGAAGTGATATGGACTCAAGCCTTATAACGTTCGTACAGCGCTGGTGGGATATTTATAATAAATATTGTGAACAAGAGGAAATCGCACAAATTTTTAACGCGGCACTCTTATCTTTAACATTTCTTTACCCATGTATATATATAAATTATATTTACTAACTTCTTATATTAAAAAATTGTAAAAAATGCTGACTTAATAACTCTATTTATTTTAAGACAAGCACATTCCCGTTCGAAAAATTTAAAACCGTCTGGGAGAATGGGGAAGCTCACCACGCCTTTGAGATTAATGCGGATAAACACTCTACTCACGTGGCTGGTGACCTATTTATAAGCAAAGTTATTTAAGCATGTCTCAGGAACTAACTAAAATTATTCACAAACCTTTCTTAGAAAGTTAAAGGAGTAAGACTTAGTGGTTGATAAACTGCATAGTTTAAGTCAAAATGACTGTATTTTTAGTAAAAAAATGTTTTCAGAAGAAGTGTTCTTTATTTTTTTATGGTGGTTATAATATTTTAACTCGAGACATGCTTAAATTGCTTGTATAGAACAAATATCATTGTGGCTTAACACAAAAGATGTATAACCACTTCTAATGATTTCATTTTTTGAAAGCTATAAGCTTAAAGAACTCAGTCCTTACAAAAACTTCAAGACAACTTGTTATTCATTAATAGAAGTTTGTAAAACTATTGATAATGTATTTTTTTTTTAAATCTTTATAGAAGGCTTTTTTCATATTCAGAAAAAACTTGACGAGATGATTGCTCCTCAAAAAGCTAATTATAAGGAAAATATTGAAGATTACAGAACTTTAAATATTGAAGATGAAATATTTTATGATAACACATTAGCAGTTACTTTATGTTATCAAGGTTTTTTGACTAAGGTACGGCATTTACGATTCGCTCGATATCTTTATAGACAACCAATTTATGGCCAACGAAATTTTAAAAGAAAAGTATATTAGTATTTAATGTTAATATAACTGTGGATATTAAGATTAAAGTTAAATATACATTTTAATTAATTTAAAAAACAAGTTATTGAAACCTTACATTTTTTTATAAACTAAATTTTTATAAAAAAAGTTAATGGCGTTGCATATTTGTCATAAGAGTGCTACATAAGGAAATGTCCGTATGTTATGCACTGGCATATCTTACTAAAGTTAATTTGGAGACTAAATAGAAATTATATATCATAAATAAAGTATTAATTTATTTCATTTAACAGTTCACTTCCTTTTATAAAGGTCTAAGCGCTGATATGAAATCTTTACTTAATCTGAGGGAGGAAGTTCCCGTGAAGGCTCTCCGATTTAAGTTTATATAAAAAATAGCAATAATAAATTATGAAAATTTACCCTTAAACATCTTTAATATCTTTACAAACAATTACCGTATGCCTCTAAATTATGAAAACTATATCAACGCCCAAAGAAGAGAAGTCAAGTTGCATGACAAAAACTTAACCTCAAAGGGTTTTGTGCTGCTCCACTTCATTAGTCTAAAAGGAGGATTATTTTTTAAAAAAACATGCTTTCTAGTACATCGCCAGAGTTGACCATGCATACTATTCCTTTAGTCGTAGAATTAATTTCTCATCAAACTAATGATGTTATACTTATTAATTGTAACCATTTGGGTTAAGCTAGCCATAGTCTTGCCATTTATATAAAAGTTATCTCAAGTCGGACCTTTTTAGTTAAGGTATCAAGTCTAGTGCGCGAGTAAGATTGCAGAATTGCTTTCAAATTCTAAATTCTTAGTTTACTTAATAACTAGAAAATTCGTTGTGTTATTCAAATAATTTCTTGAGTAAAGAGGCGATCCCTAGGTTTAAATCTGAACTAAGTTTGATACTACCAGTACAAATACTAATCTCAGATACATCAGCTCTACTATAAAACTAGAACCAATAGTTACTAAAGTTCATATTACCTTACAATAAACTTTAAGACTTTCTTTAGCTAGCACAATAGTTTAGTTGGTAGCCATAGAGTTGGGCTAATTAGCTAGAGTACGCAACGTTTTTCACACTGAATCAGATCAATTTCTTGGTGTTAATGTTATTAACTTTATGGTATCTAACCCATCATTATTATTCTGATGTATACCAAAGACATAAAACTGAATAACTATTGAAACAGACTATCTTGTTCTACAAAAGTAGAAAGTTCCTTTTATGACCTCCTACCATTCGACCACAGTTGCACTGTCCTTAGTTTAAAGATTATGGGCAACTCTTTAGATTTTTAGCTCAGGTTTAAAGCCCTACAAGCTAGGAAAAAATGTAGTGCCTATTTACTATTACAAAATGCTAGTTCTACTTGGTAGAAAGTTATTTTGCTCAGATCTTCGGGTAATTTGAGAACAGTTAATTAAGCGACTTGAGACCCTTTAAAAAGTCCATACCATATCAAACTGTCTATGTGAATCCAGCGTGCCTTACTTTTGCTGTGTTAGTACTTGGGGAACTTAGGTTATGGGGGTTCTAACAGGTTAAATACCTACATTCATCATTTCGGGCGTTAGCGTCCTAGCTGGGTGGTTAAGAGTATTGAAGTGCATAACTCAAGGTCGTGGACTCGATTCCCACTGACGCAACTCTCTTTTTCGGTCTTTGATGACCGCGTATTTAACCTTGCCCTCCTAAATTCTAATAAACCACGCTATACCTAAGCTCTTCAGAATTTAATGCAATGTATAGTTAATCTAAATATTTTGTTAGTGCATACTTCTGCTGTGAATATTAATGATATTTAAGCTTAATGGTCAACTAACAGTTAAAACATAAACATATAAAAGTATTGTTGGGGTACATTTTTTCGAAAGAGTAGCAATTTTAAATTTCAGTTACATAATAAAGTTAGAGAAAAGTTTTTCTAAGGATGTTCGCACTTTAAGGTAATAAACCTCGTTAACACTATATAACAAGTAACTTTTTCAAGTAAAATAAATGTTACTTTACACTAAGAAAATTACCTATTGCTTACTAAAGTATCCTTGTAGGAAAAGCCCAATCTGCGCACAACGAGTGACCTAGATCTAGAAGAGAGAAAGGAAAAAATATACCAGAGTCCTTCATGTGGCCTTTATATGCGCTAACCCTAAGCCCTCACTCTTTAGTAGTAACAAATCATATACTTAGTTACATAAATTTCACGCTAACCCAATATTTAAAATTTTAATTGGTTAATGCGAAAGTGCACGCGTAACATCCATGTCTTTTTTAATTATAAACAAACGTTGTTTTCTTTTACTAATGGTGAACAAATTGCATATTGATTTGCTTTCTTTGCACTTTCTATTAGTGAAAAAATGTTACTAATGTCCCTGCCAGATAAATAAAAAGAAAAAAATTATAATTCAATTAAAGATGATAGACAAATGGACATAACATTGTTTACCCTGTTAAACTTATTGTAAAACTTTTGCTTTTTTTAATAAAACAGATCCTTTCCATAATGTAACATTGTAATTACTACTTTTTAGTAAATTCTTCTACATTCCGTTGCAATTTTGAGAAACTATTATTTGTCCTTTGGTATTTATTTTTTGTTATGGCTAAGGATAAATTCTCTCTTAATAAAATTAATTAAAAACTTAACAAATAATTTCTTTTCCTTAACGTATATTACAAGCGCATCCACCAGAGCGTTATCCATGAGGGCATTTTGGCAAATATGTGAAATGATTTCGCGTACGACGTTCTTTTGTTTCAATAGTAGTTGGCACTATCTAGTTAATTATTACCGTGTTTAAGTCTTTCATCTCTATATAATAATATCTTATCTTTTATACTATACAATCTACTATATTATATGACTTTTAATATAATATACTAGTTATAGGGACCTAAGGCCTGTAAAATCAACACTAGCTTAATTTCGTTCATACAACTTTGATTAAAATGGCATTAAATGCTATTATTAGAAACCTAGTAAAGGTTACTTTAAGTTTGTTAGATTTACAAAAAATTCTTTTTATCTGAAATTCTGAGGCTAAAAGTATGTAACGTAATTAAAAATAAAAGTAAAAAACTATGTTAATATATTTTTTAATAGTAATTTACATAAAAAGTAAGGGGAAAAAGCAGTTTTTAGGAAGTTTAATAAAACTTAAGTTTGAAGTAAATATATAGCGAAAGTAATATATTATATTAACCTATTGCAAAAGTTGTTTGTTTGACAAAAATAAAAATCCCTTTTTGGAGCTTTTAAGATGTTAAAAAAATTCCTCTTATATATTTAAAAGCTAAGAGAAAAAAAGAAAAAGGGTTTATCTACGAAAAATAATTAAACTAAATTTATTTAATATATATCTTAAATTATTATATCAGTACAGGATCATTACTGAACCAGGAATTTTAAATAAAACTGGTAACTTTTTCTTGCATTTTATAAAAAAATTAATAAAGTGGTGTCCTATTTATATATACTATATTCTAGAGCACAAAAAACCTAGTTTCTAGCAACTTGGTATCCAAAAACTTGATTTATAAACCTGCCCTCAAAGTCTTGAGCTATAAAACCGATTTTAATTAGTAGAAAATGTAACTACCCTAATTATTTTGCTATCCTATCATAGCTCGAGACATAAAAGTCCTTCTTATTATTGTTATTATTATTATTATTATTATTATTATTATTATTATTATTATTATAATTTTTAATAGTAAATAAGTTAGTCAGCTATCTACCATTATAAATTTTATAAAACTTGCCCATATTTACTAACGTAAAATTAAGATGTTCCTGGATTCCACAAACGATCATTCCACGTGCTCATACCATTCTCTACCGCCATGTTAATGGGGAAGGAAATCATTTATTTCTTGTGTCGAGTTCTAGCACGTGAAAAAAAAACTAATAATTTTATCTCCATGCTTGGAATTCAAGGAATAAATAGATTCTCGTGGTAACCTTTAAAAAACAAAAAAAAAATTAATTGGTTCACATCACATTTTTAGAAATTTTTTTTCTGGTATTTTACATGCTTAAATCACACGCATTTAGTATTTCCTCTACACCTAAATCTAATAATATTAGCCGTACACAGGTGCTAGATGTAGTACTGTAAATCTTGGTGTAATGAATATTTTCTCACAATTCTTTTTCGAGGGTAATCCTTTACACGCTTTTTAGCAGCCACTCGGAATATATTAAGCGTTTTAGTAATCCTAGTCTTATACGTGGTTTAAAAAAAACAAAAGGGGCGGTATATTAAGGAAGTCTGTGAGTTACCTTTATAAAAAATTATGGCGAACATTTATGCTACTACTTTTTATTTAAAATTTCTGCTTTTAATTTTATCTTTTATTAAAGATTTATACACAGCTCCTTCATCGCGTAATGAATATGCTTACTTCAAGAGAGATTACACAGACTTTGTTAACTCATTTAACTCTAACCAGGATATCGAAACTTTACAATATGAGACTCTTTTATTTCCTTCTATTCCAGGTAAAATTTTTTAATTAGTAGTATAGTTCTGTTTAATTGTTTTTAGTGGCTTTTACAATAAAGCAAGTTGTTAAAAATTTGCCTCTCACTTTACGGGAGGATAAAAAAACATATACAATTAATTATATGCTAAAGTCTTATGTGGGGTTTGCAGAAGGTATACACTTATAATATCCATACAATATATCTTTACTAACATAATGTGTAGGTAGGACATCCTTTTTTTACGGCCACGTTATTAACGGGATTTTTGAGGTTAATATAATTCCGTTTGTTTAAGTTTATTTGAATCTTTATTATTTACTACTTTTCAGGCCTTTGTATTCATAGAAAATGAGATGTATGTTATTGAAAGTTGTGAGAAATCTTCAGAAGATAGTGGACATTATAATCATATTGTCTATAAAGGAAATAATAACGTAAATTTAGTATTGTATGTAATATAACCTTTTATTGTAATATTTTGAAGCCACACTACTATATTAGAAACGGAATTTTTCGAATTTGTGTTATAATTGCACATCTCCTTATAAATATTACTTTCTATTTTAGTCTAAGCATAGCCCTCAAGTATTGCCAGAAAAACAATATTTTTTTAATTTTCATCTAGTCGCGGATCACTCGGTCTTTTCTGCTAATGGAGATAATATCGACAGTACGTAACTTGAGGAATATTTATCAGTGAGTTATTTTAATAAGACTAACACAAATGAACTAGGAACCGTAGCAAAAATGGATAGGCTTTTACGAGCTGTTAGTAGTTTTTATGCTAAACAAAACGTATTTAATGACCCTAGGGAAATATTAACATTTACCGGTGGTAAGTAGCATACATTTGCAGTGGCTTTTGAAGTTTTTAAGTTAATTTTCAGATTATGAAATATACATGTCCCCTGGGCCCTTCAATCCGGCAACCATTCCTACTTTAAACGGGACCCAGGTTAATAACGTTAATTTTACTGTTTATTTGGTTACGTGACGAATTGGTTTATTTTTTAGATCTTAAGAAAATTTGGCATTGAAAACTTTTCTCAGTATGACCTTGCCATCTTGTTTACATCACTTGAACTTGGGGGTTTGTTGGGGGAATCCATTAGAGGGGCTATATGTTCCCATGACCACATCACATATAACGGAAAATTAATTTATCAGAACGTCTTATTTGTAAACTTAAAGGATGAAGAATTCAAACCTTTCTATTCTCATACGTTGACATTGGCACATGAAATAGGTCATAGTCTTGGTTTAACTGTAAGTTTATATATATATTTAAAAAGGCCCCAATTGAACTTATATATAGCATGATTCATCGACTTCTGTTATGAGTCCTCAGACTTTTCCAGGGGTCCTCTTCGAGTTTTCTTCTCAAAATAAGAGTTATCTTAAGAAAACTTTGAAAAATAGATCTTGTTTGAAATGTACTTTATATATTTTTTTTATCACTACTTTATTAAAACTTGTTTTAGCTAATAGTAAACTTTATGAGGGTGGACATATATTTTGGAATGCATTAAGGTTTATTGCCGCTCTTATTAATTTTTTTTAGTTCAATTAATGAACTTGGAATTTTTTTTTTTATTGATATGATAAATTAATGTAAATCATTTTCGTGAATATAGTTATTTTATGTAATTAACTATTTAGCGTATTAGTAATCTATTATTATTTGTAAACACAGTTATGGAGAATTTTTTAATTTTGATAAAAAAACCAATGTTAATGCAATCTCTCCGGGGAGAGCAAAAGTTGAGGTTAGAGTTATACCGCCTGTAAAGCGCGAGATTACAGGGCAAATTATAGTTGAAGCTGAACCGCCTGTAGCGGGTAGTGTTGGGACTACTTCCTCTACAGAGAAAAGCAGTAACAGAGCTACGACCCCGAGTGAAAATGTAATGCCTAAGATTTCGCCAGAGATTGAGTTTACTACTAAGGAGCCTGCAACAAGTAGCGGTAGCGCCATAGTACATCCAAAAGTTAGAGCTTCTATGGAGCCATTAACAATCGATAAAACTTCCACCTCCTCAAAAGATAGAGTTCAAAATACTCCGCTTTTGAACATAAATACTGACATTACGACATCTGAGGTTTTTTCGAATCTTAATGCTAAAGCTAAACCGTTTTCGGCTATATGTCCGAGGACTTTGATAACTATTGCCACAATAATATTAGCTGTTAACTTGCATTATAGTGCTTGAATTGTGGTACTGTATATAGCGTTTTTAAAATAAACTGTACGGGGTTCGTTTTTAAAATAATACTTTTATTTTTAATAACTAACTTTTTAAGCTTTATTAAAGCGTAATTTTTTTAATTAGTTTTAAAAAATTATGAGTATAACTAATAAATATTAAATTTTTAAAGCAGCGATTGGATTTGTCGTAGTTTCCATTGACCTTTTTACTAATTGAAATGTGCCGTATTATATCATTTGTAATTTCCTATCCGCATATGGAACCTTTTTAGTTAGTTGAACATATAAACATTCTTTAGTTTAGTCATAGTAACTTGGTCAAATATTTTTGAAAGTTAAAAGGTCCGAAAAGATTGTGCCTTCCTTTGAGCCATATTATCCATTCTCAGCAAATCTTAACTTAAGCTATTATTATAAAATTTCACTATTATTATGCCCCCTTAGGATAAGAATTATATTAAAAAGCGACTTCTTTTTAGTATAAAGATATATTTAAATAAAACAATAAGGCTATAACATAAACTACGCCGTTCAACAACGGCATTTAGTCACCAGTTATTTAAGTTTTTTGGAAGCAATAATTGTTAGCCACTTAAATATAAAAGCTCATTTTTAAACGAGTATTTCTTACTACGTTAAAACGTATCCAACTTTAAGAAGTACTGTTTATTATTTAAATTATTTAAAACTCATTATTGATATACTTTAAGCAAAATAACTACAGACTTCTGAAAATCTTTAACTGAAGAAACGAAAAGTTATAGTCATACGTAAATTTCTATCAACATTTCACTACAGGGTTTTTTTTCTTTATCCCCTTTGTGTATATAATAAATTTGACCAAGATTAAAACCTTTTAAACTTTGTCAATCTTTTAAAATTCACTGATGAACTTAAAGAAAACATTTCAACGTCTGTGAGAAGCTATTGACCACTAAAGCTTAGTTAAAAAAATTTACTTGAATACAATCTAATTTTTTTACACGCTCGAATTATTTTCCTATCTGATGCAGTAAAGTCTTATCAATTATAATTAAAGTCAGTTCATAGTGTTGATAGAGGCATTAATCGACACAATGATACCTCATTAGGTTTTGTATTACAAATAATCCTCTTCTTTGAAATAGTATTACTCGAGTGTCCTTTGTAAACTATAAATTTTAAAATGACGAAATCGGTGATAGTATATTAGTTTTTGGAAAATTAAATTATAGGATTTGAATTTATAGTCCCCCGTAAATTATATGGTGAGAGTTAGTAACAAAATTGTTTAATAAAATGGTATATTATGGTACACTGATAAGGGTATTTGGGCCTCTATCGATATGATATAATCCGCAGTGTAAATTTTAAGGTCCTTTTTTAAGTAACCTTACTAAATGTAAGGTCGTAAGTTACAAAGTACCGAAAAAAATTAATGATTCCATTTGGAATGAAGAATATGAGGTATATATTAGTAGTGCTGAAGAAATTTGGCGTAAAGAGCTTTTGTAATATTGAGATTGAGGTGTGTATCTGACAAAGCAAACAATTTAATTTCTTGGGAATAGGTTATAAATTACAAAAGAAAAAAATGAATTAACTGCCCTTGAGGGGAATTATTAATTTGAAAGGAAGTGCTTAAGAGTAACTGACGTTTAAGTTCAGTTTAATAATTTAAGCTTTGATTTAAATAGGTTATAGAAGACTTGAATTGGTGAATTTACGCGTTCAAATAGAAATCATTTGAAAAATCTATTTGTAACTAAAGCTTCTAAAGTTTGAGAGGTTGAAGGCTATATCCTTTTTGGAAGATGTACGTTGCCGAGGATGGAAGAATTTATTAAAAGTGGTTTTTATAAATGACAGCCTATAAGACGGCAATGACTTGAGAAAAAAATTAAAGGATTTAACGCAGTGTTGAAACATTTCTAATAAACAAGGTTAACTAATTTAAAGGCTAGGTACAGTAAATATTTCACTACTTTAAAAATGCCGAAGCCTGTTTGAAAATGAGATTAGGAACAACTTTGCATTACAATATTTGACTGTCTCAGAGTGCAATAGATTGTCTTACCTCTCTCGCATGGCCATGGATATAGGTCCTAATGATTTTAGAAAGCAGAGATTTTTAAAAACTAATTAAAGCAAGATATTTAATTTTAAATAACGATGCAAAGACATACCCACGAGATTATCCCTGCAGTGTTATAATAGTGGCATTCATTATGAATTAAAGAGTATTTGTAAAATCGATAAAATTGATAAAGATGAGTGAAAATGGCTAATAGTTGAATAGGACTGCAGTGATTTGAGGGGACTTTTAAATGTTTTGAGGGAAGAAAATATACTGTTTTATGGACTTTGCGATTTCTGTTTCATTTACCTCAAGCTAGTAATCCTTATAATGAGGCTAAAGCAACAGAAAACAAAAAGGGAACTTAAAATTTTAGAAAAAAAGTAAACATTAAATGGAGTAAACAATGAATGTAATATCAAATAAATCCAACCTTACAAGGGAACTCATTCACATTATTGAGTAGCCCGAGTTACTGTTTTATAGTTGATGGAAACTCTCCTCACCTCTTGGCAAAAAAGATAATTGAAATTGCTACCGGCAAAGCTACTATAAACGATTTGTAAAATGCAAAACCTCGTAAGAGTGTTAACGGAACAAGTATAGAATGAAGTATCATGTAGTAACTGTGAACTACTTTTAAAGAAAAAATTGGTAGGATGTTATGTATGGGATATCTAATAAAAAAACTATACATTAAATACTTTATTATCACATATTTTATCTAATACTTTAGATGCGTCGATTACATTTTTTTTGTTTACTATAGTTTTGCAAGAGATGGCATGGCAATACTGTTATTAATAGCATTACTAAAAATTTAGTTGAATATTCTGCACACTCGTGGTATTTATTATGGGGAAACAATGGAACTGATAAACTTCAAAGAGCAGTATTTTTACTAACTGAAACGAGAGGAAACTACGATAAAAAATGTTTAAGCATTTTTGCTAAAGACGTAAACTGCTTTAGCCACCTGTAATTAAGAGAGTTTAAATATGAAAAATTCATAAAGCAACCTAGAGATCAAATAAGATAGTTAACAATTCCTGTCGTATAAAATCTTCAAAATCTAGGCAATAAAGATTAACGTAAAGAATTATTTCCTAGCTTAAATATAACTTGTGTTAAGAAAGGGTATTCTTAACATTAAGTATAAGTGCAAAGGACTATCATTAAATGGAAACCTACTACAGGTTAGTAGTGGATACGACAGAAAGGTCTTTGATTAAATTTATTAATGCATGCTAGATGACGAATTCTTAGGATACACTAACTTTTAACTATGAAAAGCACCTGTACATTTCTTAACTTAACCTAGCCCTAACCCTAACCCTAACCCTAACTCTATATTTATTACTATTTTTAAAATTTTAAAATTATTAACACTTTTTAGAGTAACTAATATAAAAATTTTACCTACTTACCTTACATTATTAACTTTTCCTTAAAAAGTAGCCTTCATAAGTGCATAATAAGAAATTTCACTCATTTAGGGACTAACTTTTTATTATAGTTTTAGCAGAAACACAAGTGACCAAATGCGTCTATCTCAGCTATTAGACAAACTTACAGTACTGACAAATAATATTATATATATGACCCGTACTTCAAAAAAAAAAATTTATGCACATAACTTGATAATTTTATATATATTTTAATTAGGTACCTTACATAACTATATGTCCCATAAAAGTATCCTTGATAACTATATTTTAATTTGGGTCCCACTAAATACCTTTTCCCATGCTTTGGTACCCAGATGTGTGCAAATGCCTCTTTGACAATGAAAAATAGAGCATAAAAAATGATGGAAGTGTAGCTTCTTTCTCAAAATTATTAAAGTTCCAATATTTTATCTTTTTTTAAAAACTGCAGTGCCCTTTAATAAAGGCAGAGATGCTAATTAAAACCCTTTTTAAAAAGTAGGATCTCTGGAAAATGCTCTTGGAATGATATTTACCCTCTACAATGCGCTTAAAAATAACAGGCTTCGAGTTTCTGCTAATGTTTAAGGCCACGAAATATCCAAAGAGGGTTTTCTAAAGCAGTTAAAGACCTTACTTATCAGCTCCAAAAAACATGAGACCACCGTAACCTACTTTCTTCTTAAGTACGCCCTTGTTTGCGAAGGGGGTTATATCCTTTTCTCAGTATTTTTATTATTATTATTAAACTAAACATTTACTTTTATAACAAATCTTTCCAATGAATGCCAACAGCCGTCTTATCACTTGTAAATACTTTTAATAAAATTTCTATGACGCCCTCTAAATGTTAGCCTAGCTTACACGAATTGATGAGTAAAGGTAACAGAGCTATTATCAGCGCATCCAATAAAAAAATTTTTTTCTATCACTTGTATAGAGCGCTATTTGTGAGATCTTTCATCTATATAATAGCTCTACCATCTGCAAAACTCACCAAGAAAACGGTTATATTGGAATCCATATGCTTTCCTCGGTTCAAACCGATAGCCCAGTTTAGAAAGTCTTACTCAATAAAGAAAACCTCTTTATAATAATAGCTTTATAAAGGTCTGTTGTCCCAAGATTATATCGTTACCCGTTATGCTCCAGTTTTTAGCCAACTCTAATACAAATTTGGTATGATTTTTAATTTGGTTAAAAGTGGATAAACCAAATCTTTCATCTGTCCATTGCCTTGCAGGTGGTGTAAATTGATATACCTACAGCCCGTAGTGGGTTATGCTAATAAATTTAACCGTTGATCGGAGCGCGTAATAAAAAAAAATAAAAAATAAAAAACTAAATAAAGAGACACAGAGAGATAACTACCTTAACAAATGCCGTTCTTGTGTATTCTTCTAAGTTAATATCATTAAATAATCTAAACTACCTAGGTTGCTTCATAAATTATTGTTGGTTGTATACCTTTTTGTAATAAAATACTTTAAGTTTCCCTTCATTTCAACTCATTTTATAACCTTGTACTGCCC